GGCCTCTACAAGCATTACACCCACATGGTGCACTTACATGCAGGCAATACACTCATACACATAAAATAAAAATGATAAAATGTTTTTCAAAGTTAATACTGTGGAAAGAAACTAGAAATAGGGCAATTAACTTTCTGTTTTGGGGTTTAGAGTATAGTGTTTCCTATGAATCTTACACTGACAGTCAGCCCAGAGGCTCCCATATGTTAAGGAGCATCCTTCATTCTCTAACAATTTAATTGAAGAAAATCTGTCACCTCAAGCCCCTCACCAGATAATATAGCTGTCAGATTCCCTGGAACTGAGTTATATATGGTTGATGGGTGCCTGGAACTGAACCTGGGTCCTCTGCAAGAACAGTGCTCTTAACTGTTGAGGCTACTCTCCAGCCCCCTTCCCCAAAGTTTTAAAAGAGTAATGAATGTTACTGATGAAAAAATAACAAATATGTAAAAAATTAAAAAACTGTAGGGTTATGATGAAAATAAAAAGGACCTAAAAACAAAAGTGGTACTTCAGTTGCCTTTGGATATTGACCAAAGCAATTTAAAATTGTCAGCTGAGGGACCAGTAAATTGTCTCGTCAGGTGGATGCGCTTCCACAACCTTGATGACCTGAGTTCAGTCCTCAGAACCCACAACGTGGGAGCAGAGAACTGACTCCTGCAAGTTTTCTCTGACACTGGAGAGTCAGGCTTTTACCAGCTCAACACATCCATTCTTATGGTTAGCTACAGAAAATACCTTTTTAAAGTGAAGGAATTATTGTTAATTTTGTATGACATTGGGTTTGTGAAATAGTTTTAGGTTTACAGAAATGCTACAAAGAGTTCCTGAATGCCCTTTCTCTAGCTTTGCTTATGCCTTTAAATTGTTTAATCATATGATAATTATAGTATATGTTATTATTGGGGCAAGGAACTTAACATTCATGTTCTACAGGCATTTAAATCTCTTAAATTGTTCTTTTAAATGTCTTTTTGTACATTTATTTATTGTATGTTGGGGGACACTTTTATGCCAGGGCCCACATGTGGAAGTCAAAGGACAACTTACAGAAGCCAGTTCTTTCCTTCTAACATGTGGATTCTAGGTATTGAACTCAGGCTGTCAGACTTGGGCCTTTACCCACA